AATCTTGGGCACTGATTACATGACATGGAACAGTACCAGTAGCAGTACTGCTACTGGCTACTGGTAGCAGAAGAGGCTAAATCCAACATATTTATCTCAATGCTCCTGTTCAAGGGACCATTATGAGTTTTGCGTTGTGGAGGTCGCATCTCTCCTTCAGCTGGGAAACGGTGCGTGCCATCTGCAGACCACGACGGCACACAGCATGCCTCAACGGCAGGTAGTTTAACTCGCTTGAACTTTCATGACAGCGACGACGGTGCGATAAGGAGCGAAATCATTCGGCTGCATGTCTGCTGTAAACCAAGCACGGAGACTGAGCTCAAGCTCAAGCATTCAAAAGGCCGCATAGGCTTGACCTGAAATCCACCCTTTCCTGAAAGACAGCTGATGCACTTGCAAACCAAGTCGGCGGGCCACTAAGGTACCAAAACGAAATCCGCTACTGTAAACCCCGCCCCACAGGAAAACGCCTTTCGCCACAAGTTGTCAGCTGGGAGGTCGAGATCTTCGCATGTCCTTCAGCACCACAGGGGTTCGAGATGTGTCATGAATTCTGGCCCCGTGGTCTTTTTACATTCACCGGCTGGTTCAAATGTTTCAAGGTGCGCAGTGCAGGGGACCTGCAACACCGTAACACCCAGATTTCTCTAGCCCGTAAATTGAAGAACACGACCAGCATCAGCTCAACACTGTGGCTCAACATCTTGATTCAAAACCCAAACACTGCATCCACGCATTGCCAACCGTCCGGGAACTGTGAACTCCAAGACCTGGGGAAAGTCGACCCGCTCTAGACGAAGGCGACCTCAAAAAAAAACCTATAGTGAATATGACCGTAACCATGGTCTCTCTGACGTACGTGCGCAAATGCCTTGATGGCAGGTGAAGTTGCACTGCAAAGGTTCAACACAGAATGATAACGAGGACTGCACAAAAAGGTGACAACAAAGCATGCAGCAAGTCTCCGGCAACTCCAAAACAAGCTACGAGTACAACAACTGCCGTCATGTCCGACATGCCCTTGACCAGTTAAAGAAACATGTTTGTGACATCGTACGTTGTCTGCCAGTGTGTGGGCACAAAACCGCGTCAGCCGTCGAACTTCAAACTAAGGCCACGCGCCCGTGCTGCAGTCAACAGGCTTGTTCTCATGTTAGCATATGTTTTTTGGTGATTTCTTCGCTTGGTATGTACTGCTTAGGCTCATTGTCATTACGACGCTGTTCCAAGGCGTTACACAATTTCTGGTAGGCCCTGTAGCTTTGCCTTTGCATGAACATAAGGGATCAACTACCCGCCCGTTGCAATACTTGAAGCTTCAAGGTGACCGAAGATGTCTTGGGGAGCTGATGCATACGGCAAGACGGTGGAAAAGGGCATCGCGAAGCTTGGAACCGTCGCGTGCCACCAACACTGTATGGAATGTTTGATTACCTGTTTGTTGCATTCACCAAACATCTTTTCTGTCTTGTCTTCACTTGGGAACAGACCGCACAACCGCGCAGGGAGTAGATGTCGTCGTCGTCAGGTATATGTCCTCGTCCTGGACATACGGTCGCGTCGTCGTCGTAAACGACGGCACTTCCTCGTTTGCAGCGCCTCGTTACAAGCGTCCTGAACTTGGCCTACACAAACCTGCAGCTCTGCTAAGTTCCAAGCCTCTGGTGACACTCCAGAGTAGGGCACGTTGAAAAGGATTTCGGGTCCAGGGCTTCGGGTATAGCTTTAGTTTTACAAGTAAGTAAAGCATTGCGGTGGCAACATTAATTGCTACATTTCAGGAGCATCTGCCCACTTGGGCTAAGGTGGTTTCACTTGTTCAACCGTAAACCTTTTGTGATGGCTGCTGTAAAGGTTTCAGGGTTCATAGCTTCGAGATGTTGGATGGAAAGGCTGTCTGGCGCGCTCCTGGCTCAAACCCTTAAAGGGGCCCAGAAAGGTGGTCCTTATAGCAAAGATCCTGCTGTGGGGTTGGGATGCAGACCTGGATACAACCGGGTCTTGAGGCCTTCCGGCAAGATGTGTCTCTTGGATGTTTCGTGATGTTGAAGAGAGATGCCACTTTTAGGTAAACCTTCAGCCCGCTTACAAGCATGCAGCTGAGAATCTAGTTAATCCCTGTAGAAGGAATGACAGTTTTACCAACAGGAGCAGCACACAGCAACAAGGATAAAGACACACCTAAGTCCACTTTAATGAGCATGGTTGCAGTACCCCAAAGCCCCGCAACCCGGCATTGCCGCAGCCAAGGTCAGAGGATGCGGATCGCGGTGGGGAAAAGCTTTTATCACCATTCTGGGGGCCCTCATCTGCCATGTGCATGAGCCCTTCATCTTTGTAAAACCCAAGGGCCGCGTGGGTATTTCTGCTTTGCGGTCCGGCAACCCCTTAAGCCGATAAGTCTAATCCCTACTCCAGCAAAAGCCCAAAGCCTCTTATAGTAATGCGGCATACTGGTCATGATTTTATGATGTAGTACGAGCCAGAACCCCAAAGCTCAGAAGCTAACAGCAATGCCAAGACTTATACCGACAGATGTACCAGCAACGCCTGGAGTGCAAGCATTGCCCAGCAGCAGTGACAAGAGCGACTAAGCCATACCAGTGAGGTGACACTTGAAGCCAAAGCTATGCAATGCCTTTTTCTGACGGATCCACAGCCAAGTTTCGAAGTGACAGTTGCTACCAGAGCAGTAGTTCACCTGAATGCTCAGAGCTTTTAGGGCTTCGGGGTCGTGATTGGGGATGATTCGGGTAGTTAGTCTTGTGCGTCAGTTACGAATTAGGATCTAGCAACGGAGGGACGTCGTTGTGCGATGTCTCAGCTTCCTGGAATGTCTTCTCTCCTCTCCCCTCAGCCATGCCGCCAGTGGACGAAGTCTTCGCTTAATCGCAAACCCTCAGCCCTAAAGCACTAAAACTCGAGGCCCTCAGACCACAAGCTACGCCCTAGCCCTCGCCGTTGAAAAGTAGGACGTGCGCACTTGTGTTGGGTCCAAACAGGCATGCATCGCGGCAGCATAGCATGATGCACCCTGATGTAATGCAACAGAGCAGACTGAAATCGTAGATCAGGTAAGATTTCAGAGCGTCTTATCCAGAGCCACGAAACCTTTTCGTGCGGGAGGATATGCCGGTGCTCTCCTCCAGTTCGCTCTCTTCGGCCTGCCGCTCCTGCGCTGAGATTGGGGAACATATGTCTATGGAGTCTTTAAGGGATTGGCGAGATGAACGCATGATACTTCTGCTCACAGTGTCTTGGTGTGTCTAGGGTGAGCCTGTTCCGGCCCATGCCACTCCTGTCAGTCATCTGCCAAATCTGTGTGATATGTGGGAAAGCTGTGCCTTCCTCCGGTTTGCCGATTGTTGTATCCCACGCTTGCCAGATCTTCTCCCAATTCTGCTCGTACATGTATCCTATTCTTGTATGTTTCACCTGTGTTGAGCATTTTGCTATGTGCCATCTGCTGTTCTCTGACCATTGTGTACTATGTTCAACAACCATGTTGCGACTCGTCTGTTGAAATGCTTGCCCATTATTCAGCACAGCCTAAATTGACCGATCCGGATTCTGTTCATTCCTACAGAACCAATTCTCCAAGGCTGCAGCACTCAAGGCTTAAAGGTGTAAGGGCTCATGCTCGTGGCAGCTACGATATTCAGAGTCCAAGGGGTGCTTCAAGCTCATCTAAAGGCCGAAACAACTAGTCAGAACCTCCTCGGGAGTCATACTGGAATCATGCAAGGGAAGCCTTAGATTGCTTCCCGTTAAGGCTTTATATGTGCTACGGTTGATGGTCTACTTCTAAATCCTGCATTACCCATAATAAAGAATATACCGGAATTCCCATAGTTTTAGGGTCCTTAAAGGTAATGCTAAGGATTTCCATTATCAACAGTACTGCTACTCTTTCGGGGTTCGGCCTCAAGGCTGCTGGACTTGGGGGCGCCCGGGCCTCTCCCCACGAGACATTCTCCAAGGCATCCTGGCACGTTTGCACAAAGTCAGCGCCCGCCTGCCACAAAAAAAAAACAGGCTTTCGAAGCTCCAGCCCGATCTTGGCTTTTGGGTTTCAAGTGGGTGCAGCGACTCGTGTTTCCAGGGAGGCGGGTCTCGTCAGGTTTTTTTTTTTTAATATGCTGCTTGAGGCAAGCTTTTGAGGGTTCAAGCTGGACTCTGAAATTTCTGATGCCTTAACGCGAAACCAGACCTTGCGCTTCTTTGTTGCGTCCCGGAGAGGGCATCCTTGGAGGACACCCGAATGGCCGCATGCTAGAACAGTCGCGCATGTGATGGCTTAGGGGGAAGACAGGCCCATGTGGCTTCTGTGAGAAGCATTTGTTCGAATTAAGGTTTGAGCGCTGCAGGTGCTTTAGTCACAGGGTTCTACTGCAACCCTTGAAGCGAAGTCCACGAAAGAGAACACCGTCGCCCTGGGCATTCGACTTTGAATTTACAACGTTCGGAGCCCCTTTACATATGCTCCACGCCATGAAAAACACTGAGACTTCGGAGAGTCTCAAGCTACTGTAGAAGCCCTAGTGCCTTAGTAATTAGAGTAGGGTTTTGGGGCCCATTATACTATAATCTTAATAAGGAGCCCCCAAAATAGTATAGGTAATTATTTAGACCCCTGTATTACCCGGAAATTGAGCCTAAGGCCGGCGAGGCCCCCGATCAAAGCACTACTCCGAGAGTCATGCAATATTATATTATATTATGTTGTGTTATATTATATTATATTATGTTATATAGTATATATTATATAGTATATGTTATATATTATTTATTAGCAGCCTTTGTGGTCTAGGGTCCTTGTCGGCTTGACGACAGAGACTGCTCGCTCTAGAGTCTACTATAGAGGCCCGAACAAATATATGTTCCCCTAGAGTACTGGGCCTCGAAGCAGCGCGCCGAATCCGATAGCCCAAACCCTCAACACCAAACCCTGCCAGTCCTAAATTGAAGTGAGACAGAAACCCGAACCTGATAAAGCCTTAGACTAGAGGAGCCCGAATGCTACCCTGCTGACCCTGAGCCCAAATACCCAACTCGACAAGCGTTGCCTTTTGATTCTCCTGGGCCTTCTCCAGGTAGTAAACTGGGAACGGAATCCTGGATCGGATCGCAGCTGAAATCGGAGGGGGGACAGCAGAATTCCACAAGAACGACGAGCAGTTCATCCTACCGAAGGAGGACATACGTTAGGCATGGGATTTGGGCGTAAACCCAGGCAAGGCAACTTCCGGAAGCTGAGCATGAACCCCAACACCCAGCAACAGACTGAAAACCTGATTGTCAGGAATTGGAGCCTGCCAAAATGTGCCGCGAGCACCTGAGCCCTAAACCAATGCTGAGCATCTGATAGTGGTTGGCGCCACCGTTCCAGACTCCACAGCACCGCGGGTACGTGAACTCCAACTTGCATGGAGACAAGCTAGTGGCATAGCCCTTGTGGCCTAAGTCAGTAAGCTTTTGAGCGCCAAGACCCGAACCCCAAACCTGAAACTTAAACATTGGGTAGAGTCTATCTCTTCTGAATACTGTTCAACTGCTACTGAGTGGGGGCAGTATCTAACCTAAACATCTGAATAGCGAAAACTCACCAAGCTGCAGAAGGGGCCCAGGAAGTTCTCGTAAAGCCGATCAGAGTAGGCCTTTGGATCCGGGCAGGAGTAGTTGTTCACGAACGCGGGCGCGCCCATGCATGTGAGGTAGGAATCTCCCTGCCTCGGTCGGTTCAGGGCGGAATTCCGCGGGCGCTGCCATGGTCAATGCGGAGTCAAACAGTTAGACGCCCCGTATCTCCTTGGAAGAACTTGAGCAGATTCCCGGTCAAAGTTGCATCTACGCAAGAGGGCGCAATGGATGGCCTAGAGGCCAATATTGCCAAGCTTCAGTGTGGCGACTCTGCCATTGGCGCGGTCGACCCACGGCGTGGCGGTAATGAAACCGACTGCGAAGCCACTGATGCACAAATTCATGAGGCCGTGGTCCTGGAGACATAGGAACACAATGGGCTTAGGGTGTTGCTTTTCTTAAGTGCACTTTACGCGCTTCACTTCACTCCAAGGGGACTTCACTAGGGCTGTTTAGGTCCGGCTTCAGGATGCAGGAGGCTGGTTTTCCCAAAAGCTGGTTCGTGTTGGGACTCGTCGTGTCCATCCTCTTCGTGTCGGTCAAACAGAGTTAGGGGGTTACGACATTGAGTCCCAACCGTGAAAGCACCGAAAGCCCGGATTCAAACAGCCGCCTTCAGCCCCGTTTCTGAACTTCGAACTCTTAGCCGCTTCCGAGTTCTGAAGCCGTCACGTCAGTGGACTTCCCCCTTCAGCTTCATTACGCTTCTTGGTGATCCTAGGTGTGCTGCTACAAAAGGCCCTTCAGGGAGACCAGCGCGAAACATGAAACCCACGAGGTTAGGAAATTGCACTGCTCCGGCGCAGCAGCGGCCTTCTTGATCTGCGTGTTGACAATCCTTCCCGCTCCTGATGTGCACTTTGAAGATTTTGGGCTCAGGGTTTTGGCTTAGCCTTCGGGTTCATGCCTCATTGTTGCACACACCTTCTTGGATTCATGAATCGCTACACCTGGGTCTACGGATATAGCGGCAGGTAGGCAACTGCCTGGGCCGAAACGTAGAACTAATTATCAACCCAGTACATGACGTAAGCTGTAAACGGCCAGCATGTACTCGCTCATAAATGAATGCATGAGTACAACAGTGGAAGAAGCAGATGCGCAACGATGAAGCATTGAAACTGGAAAGCACTCAATGCTTCTGCACAGAACGTTGCGATCGTCTCTCTCTCTCTCTCGCTCTCTCTCTCTCTCGCTCTCTCTCTCTCTCACACACACACTGTCTCTCTCTGTTATGGTTAACGTGCTTTCGGTCGAAAAACAAAGACAAGCTGAGGGTTCAGGTCCTCCAGATCGCAAGAAGTCCAGTTGAAAAACTCCCGAGGGCCCTGTCGCGCGGGCATCGCAGCCGATGCCCAATTTCGGCACGCACGTTCCAGCGGCAGTGATCAAAGCACCAAGACACCTGAGTACATGTAGGAAGTCTTCGCGATCTTGTATGTTTTCAATTGTGATGCGTCGAATCAGTTCACACATGCTACCGGCAAGCAGTCAAGGCCAAATGCAGCAAGCGGCTGGGTGCTTCGATACTTAGAGCAATACAGAAACTCACACCCTACGCTCTACCCTAAACCGGCTAAACCCATACCCTAAAACACCGATAGAACAGAAAACATGCCACCGACACTTACAAGTAGGGTCGACGAACCTACCACAGCACTCCCACATGAAGCCCCGACGCTGAAAATCGCACATGCAACCAAACCTGAAAGCATGTCATCCCTTGGCCATGAACTAAGCCTGGAACACTCTAACTACAAAGCCGCAAGTCTTGCATCAAAGCGCTGTGTCAGGGGATCCGGCCCTGTGCCTGGCTTGTAAAACTTCTTTGCCCCATAGATCAGAAAGGACTCGGCAATCTGCTCGAAGGTCCAGACCTGCACGGGATGTGAGGCTTCAGCGAAATTGTATGCATGTATGTATGCATGCATGTGTGTATAAATATACAAACAATTCATTATATTACATTAAATTGAATCATACTATATTTCATTACTATTTTATATTATATACATACGTATATGTGTACATATGTGTATATATATATAGAATATATACATATAATGTGTATCACATATATGTATGTATTATATACATGTACCACGTCACATTGTACATATACGCTAGCACACACAATATAGGACATGTGTATATACATATATGTATGTATACACATATATGTGTGCATATATATATATATGTATACGTACACCGGCAGGCATACTAGGGCATGTTGAGCGTTGTACTTGGTGGCAGCGATGCAGGTGCTGCTGCAGATGATGGTGATGATGATGATGATGCAGATGATGATGATGATCTACACCCATGTACTGCACATCGGTAGTATTGCATCTAGGTATGTAAATGTTTCATGCAATGGCTCATACCTGCCTTCCATCAGAGTCCTAGAATCCCGGAGGCCCTTCGGGAAGACCAGAGCTGCAGTGCCGAAAACACATCTTACATCCCTTTGCTTGAGGGTAGACCTGAGACTGTTATAGTTTGTTTATAGTGCAAGGATACAGCATAGCATAGTATATTAAATTATATTATATTAGAGTGTAGTAGAGTAGAGTAGTCGGTCTTGAGAGCACCGCTTGTGGAAACCCGAACCTTGCCCTAAGATCAACACTAACCTAACTTTGAACCCTAACCGGCCCTAACCCTAGACCGCTCTTTAAATTTGGGGGTCGTTTGGCTCTCGAAAAATCTGGTCTGGCATTGAGAGCCTCACGAATGCAGCAGAGTTTGAACCCCTGAAGCCCTACACACTTCAATCGAAACACATGGTGAGGCCGCCACCTCGTTGGCATCCGGCTTCCATCTGGGGTCCGTGCACGACACCGTCTCCTCTCATTCTTCAGTGGGGTGTTGAGATTAGATTCGGCATTTGGGGACTGCGAACGGAGTTTCGGCTTCAACGTTCCGAGGTTTCCAGGTCTGCTTGAAGCTTCGTGGTACGTATGCAAAGCTTGTGTGAGATGGGTTGCACAAGCGCAAGTAGGTCTATCGTCCTTGAAGACAAAATTGAGCCTTTCCAACACCTTCAAGGAGGATTTGGGACACCGAGTGCTTCCATCGACTCTCTTCCAGGCAGTTCCCAGGCTTGCTGCCAGCGGCTTGATTTCACACTTGCTCTCAGCACTAGGTCTGCCTTGCGCCGTGTCTGTGCAAACCGTGGCTGTGCAGGTTGACTGTGATGCTAGGATCGCATCGCCGGCTATGCTGCCTGAGGTCTTTTTGATCAATCTTTCACCGTACGGGGCGACTGCGTAAAGGCTTCGGCGGCCATTGGACTTCTCAGATGGCTATATAGCCCCGCCGTCTGACCCAAGATGTTTTAAGACCAATTCAATGACATGAACAACAAGCAGTTTGTCCTGGTCGAAAGTCACATCATCGACAGTCAGTGCCGGATCCTGAGCACAGGGACCAAGACGGTTCAGAAACACACATCACAAACAGCTGCGAAATGAACCTGAACTATCTTCCTGCACATCAAACAAACCAGCGAAGGATCGTGGCAGCAAATGGCTTCAACTCAAACTTCTGCTGACAAGTGACAGGCAGCAATCACTCAATCTGAGGCTTCGAAATCCCTAACGCCCGAACCTCTCTAATCAGCCCTTGGAACCACGAGTCGTGTGTCTACACCTTCAAACCCCCGAATCCAAAATATTCCACCTCATGGTGCATGGTGACACATTCCAGCCCCGCTTGGTGACATAGTTCTAGTTGTTCGCAAGGCTCTCTTGCAACCCAAAGCCCGAACCCTACTACGGTTGATGATATAGACCCTGCATTACCCATACTAAGGAATAAACAATAACTCCCATAGTTTAGGGTCCTTAAGGCAATGCAGGATGTATGTCATCAACCGTATGAGACTTGACAAACATATCATCGACCACAACGTGGCCCCGACTGCAGGCATGTCGCGGGATTTCCGCCGGGCCCCAGCCCCGGTATGACGATTTCCGGCACCTGCAGCTACTGTAGGGCTAGTATCGAAGTCTGGGTTGAGGCTTTAGGGGTTGAGGCTTTGGGGTTTTTGAAATTGAAAAAAGTCTGAGCTTGTGCAATTCGATTGTTAATGCCTGCTGCTGTTGCTGCTGAAGAAACAGCAACAACGACGACGACGACAACGACAACACTCAGAACTACTACCACTACCACTACGACTGCCACTGTCACTGCCACTGCCGCCGCCACTGCCCCTGCCACTGCCACTACCACTGCCACTACGAC